AGCTAAATAAAGTATACGTCCAGGTGCGGCACCTAAGTCTTATGGCTTGTTTTTCTCTGCAGTAATAAAAATGAATATTTTCACGCATTCTAGAAGTGTTCTTTACACACATTATTCTGAAACGAAGCTTAAACCGTTCATAAAAGGTTCGCACAAAGGGCTCGTTTGAAAAAGTTCTCTTTACGGATGTGCGTATGCTTCCTTGAGAGCACGAATTGACGTTGTCATATCGAGACTCGATAGGCTCTCGCTTCATAATGCTCTATATACATATATAGTAATTCAGCGAGTCCATACCAGGGTATTCGGTAGCCATGTGTGCTCACAAGCAGTCAACTTTGTGATAGCCGGCTTGTATGAATCAGCGTTGGGAAACGTATGGTCTTTTGTCAAACACTTCAGTTGCCCAATGATTTATAGAACAATAAACTATAACGAACTTTCAGCTCATTGAGTTCGCTTTTTTCTTCCACTTGACACTTCACTCAAACTATACGTATTCGCCGGGAGTGTACCTTTACCTGTAACAGACACGTCCTCTAGATTGCAAACAAATCGTCGATCGCTTCTACAATGCAATATCTATATAACAATCAAATAATGCAAGACAAAAGTCTCCTTTTCAAAAAAGAACCGAAGACGACCTGTTGTTTCATTCTTGAGAGAGCTGAAAAGGCGTCGCTTTACAGGGTATCAGTTTGGTTTTGAAGGTGTGGTTCAGCTCCCTAGCGAGTCATCTGGACGATGGTTCGTCCACTTATTTCTTTGCTAGCTGCCTAATTGAAACAGAAGTATTATCAAAGACGCAGGTTTGCATCGATTAACTGTCTCTGTAGCGGGCTTTCTGTTGTGTTGTACTGAAACTTACTTCTACTTTTTCTCCAGCTGCGCATACATTATCGGCATCATAAACTGCCTGATTACTGCTGCTAACATTTTTGGAGCAAATCGTGCTCGAGCTTTTGCTAATTGGACGAACACCTATTTTCCAGAGCGCGTACGTTTCTCCCCATAAAGCATGATGATTATCCTTCTTGGCAATCTGTTCGGTAACCGCTAGGAATATACTTAAGAGGTCCTAAATAGTGAGTGCTTTGCATTTCAAACGTTACAAATGCCCATAACATTGAATTTAAGCAAAATTGTTCGTTTTTCAACATTTTTGCGACTGAGCAAAAGAAATGTAATTTCTTTCCAAAATTGTTGAGAACTGACGAGGTATAAAGTATTGCGCGATGTGCTTCATATTGTTAATATGGATAAATGCTTTCTCTGTAGTCATTTCTTTCTCCAGAAGGACGTATTCTTAACACGGTTATCGGCAAGGTGGTCAATGAAGTCACCTTAGCCGGTAGTGTACCTTCCTCAGTCGGATGAACATCTTCTTGTGGAAGTAGTTTTTCGTCTCATGAAGCTTAATGCAAATGAAGGTAAGCTGAGCTTATTGTAGCAATCTGTTAGGCATCCGTTAACAATTTTTATCAATTATTTACTAGGTTTAAATAATAGCTGCAATATGATAATATAGATATAATTTTATTTTTTTACGCTTTGTTTCGCCACGAAATAACTTCTCCCGAATAGTTCAATAATTAACGAAATATCTTGATGCGTAAGCTAGGAAACACCACTTCAAATGAAACTAACGTGAAAAGCTTTTCGGCTTATCATCATTATTATTATTACGAAAGCTATATAAAGGAACAGCGGAGTTATCGCGTCAATAAAATACTCTTAACTTAGTTCTACAGTCACTGCACATGCCTCGGTCGTCCAAATCTCGATTGTGCTCCCGCCGGGTTCAATGAAATTCGGCAGGCCACAGGACGTCTTAAATAACGAACGAGAAGGATTCTAATAAGGTAAGTATTCAATGTTAGCTAAGGTCTCAGGTTAGTTTATGTTTGTTATTACGAAGTCGAGATCTACAGAATACACGCAATGTTGCTACGGGTTAATGGAACAACCAAATCATAGGACAGGAAAAAAAAAGCCCTTGGAACATTTCAGTAGACGTACAGCATCACTGCCACAAAATAACCAGAACCTTGTGTTGACTGAGGCCAATCACTAAAGAAGAATAGTACAATAACTGTATCAATCTAACGGGGGAAATCGAGATATTTTCTTATCAGTGGAATCGGTGTTGCCAGATCTCAGAAGAATACGTCCTTTTGCAGTCAAACTTCTGTTAAGATTAACTTGCATATAAGGACTTCAATTCAGTCAACTTTGAACAGATTGAGGGTTAGGTGGCGCAGAGTTATTGCAACATAACAGCGGTTGGTGTATCTTCAACCTATAGTTCACGTTATGAATGAACTTAGTTAAATCAACGGTAAAAGGAGCCGAGGCTCAAAACTCGTAGATACGTCTATATATATATATATATATATATATATATCCATCAATTAAATAAGACCATTTAGAAATTTTACACTTAGTCGAATTTGACCGAAAATGGTTCCATACACCAGCTAAATATCTGCGTGCTGCTGCTTTATATGAAACCGGCCTCCAGTGCTTTCTAATAACAGTACATGTGATGACAGTGTCGGTAGGGGAACATTTTTAAACTGCGGTAAAAGGGAACGCATTTATTGAGGCTATTATTTGCTTTACGATTACCGTTGCAATTGGGTTTGGTATGCTTCGTATGCTTTTTCTCACTATCTATGTCACGTGCGGGTCCTGCGCTTATGTTCAAAGCACTATGTTACCGAGATGTGAGATGTTCGTAATTTCCTGTCCGGTTCTGACCTGCCCTTTGACATAGTGCCTTGCGTTTTCAATTGGATTTAAGTCGGATGTGTTTACTTGTGGCATAACCTGAACACCATTAACGATAGACGCCTCAGAAACACACTCTGCTGTGACATAGTTGTCATACGTGAACACGTAGTTCCCATTTGGACAGCACTTTCGTATCTGGCGCAGCATTTTTCGTCTAAACTACCCTTCTGCACTGTCGTTCTTTCATAATACCGCTGATGAAATGTAGGATTCCTACACTGTAAACAGAAATAACGGCCCACACATTATTATTTTGCTCCGACGTTTGCCCTGCTGAATTACATAGAACTGGTGAAAACTGTCGCTAGGCATGTTGAGCGCTACTACCCAAAATCTCAAAATACGATTCATCAGAAGAACAGACCCTTTCCTTATCCAATTTGGAATTTTTTAGCATGTTTGAAATGCGCATACTTCCGTACACAATTTAGCTGAGGCTTTCTAGCTGGTTTACGGTAACTAAGACCATCCGCTTTGATACGACGTTGAAGGGTTTCTGTGGACATGGTGATTCTCTGGCGCTCTCTGACATAGTTGAGAAATTGCTACAAATTACTTATTTTTAGCCTGACTATGTTCCCGTCTTTTTGCTATGTTTGTACCGTTTGATTTTTTATTCGTCGTGTTTGTTTCGATGACAGAAGCACCTTACACCTCAACCTCTGGGGTACATGTCAATTGTACGCTTCGATATTTTAACTCAAACTCTTTTTGTGATCGACTTCGCTGCTCTTTCATGAAATCTTTTCATAATCACATTACGAATTCAAGTTTGGGCACAAAAGCACGAAATCCACTTCAAAATAGTCTATCGTTATAACAACATCGTTATCTCTAAATCTATGAGAGTAACGATACTTGTTGTACTACCTATCGGTTAATTAATGTCTCCCTGTATACGGAAGAGGACGAAATCGAATACATAAATTGTGCATAATTGCTCAAATACTCATACTGTTGTGGTAAATGGCCATTGCACCATACATCTCGGCAAATGCTTTTCTTTTCGATGTGCACTCTACATCGATAACCGATCAAAAAGGACGAGGCCGCATGTGGTCACTGTTAAATAACGAGGGTTGTTTTCAGGAACTAAACCGCATTGTCCGCCAGGCAACGGGTCACGCCGGACAGGTGCACGTACTGTCTGGGTACAACAAACGGAGATGTGTGCCACGACAAAACGAGAGACAGTTGCTACAAGGTAAGGAAAAGGCTCAATATTTTACGCTAATTCAACGTCTCTGTTTCATTCGTAAAATTCGCTATTGGAAGCGCCCTAGTCACTGGTGAATGGACAATGACGCCGCTATTCGGCTTCGCTCGAGCTTTGACGGTTGCCATCCCGTACGAATCCGTTCCAGTTGCGTGTGCACGTTTGAGTACTTCTTAAGGCTTCAAATGGCTTATGTGCGGGATTTATCATACACTCATGGCCTACCCGAAGCAGCAGTACAATGCCGTATCGTCAAGGGAAGAGCAAGCGAGACACATCTTCTCCGGCAGAGTCCCGTCGTTTCCGTCCGCCGACATCACTTCGTTTCATTAGCGCTACCGCGTCTACGTGCAAAGAATCCGACGTTACTCGGCCTATTGCATACGCGGCGTAGATTAACTGACTTTCGATCTCGTAAATTCAGACATGTTCGTATCATACGCGTGATCTCACATCGCGTGTGACATAATCGAGAATCATGACTTTTAAGCAACTGATGTTCAGGAATCCAGAGACGCACTATGCCCGTGTGTAATGCACTCTTATCCGTTTTTTTTTAACTTATTTTACTCCTTTTTTTTTAAATCACTTATCCCTCTGTTTCGTGAATTTCATCCGAAAGTGAATTGTATTGAAACTGCGGAAATTGTTATCTGTAAGGCTACTCAGACAATCAATCAAAGCTCAATAAAACCATCGGTATAACTATAAAGAAGTGTCCGTTTTCACCAAAGTTAAAAAAAATATATATATATATGAGCAAAAAGTCACATATGTAAAATCAGACCGTGTTTCACACTCCTTTAGTATATACAGCGTTAGCACGCAAAGCGATCTAGATGCCCATTCGATAAGATCATAATAATAATAAAACAGCTGTTAATATCAAGCGGCACGAAGTGCACTACCCTCTCCGACCCCTTGGATTTACCCTCTCCGTCACAGCAAGTGGTAGATGCTGGCTCCCTGACAGCTGTCGCTGTGAAGATTCGACCGTGCCACTGGCCCCTCTGGATAGGCATCAGACAGCCCTTACCATCGCCAACACCACGGTGCTCTTGGACCAGTAAAACAAACTACCACTGAGCCCAGTTTGACATAGTCACTATCTCCGAAACTGAACAAGAAACCGGTGAAGGCCGAATTGTTAAAAACGGGTTACTCAAAGCGAAAATTATGTACAGAGTTATTTCACGAATTGTTACTAAAGTGTTCCACGTAAAGGAATAATACGTGCGACAAGTTGCTGTGAGTGCGTGTGTATATGTCATACCTGTGAAGGAAATTACTGATACTTAAGAGGATATTATACATTGCAAAATCTTATCACGTGCTTGAAAGAATTTATAAAGAGGAGCTTAGAAATTCGTATGCGCACCTGCTAAAACTAAGGTAAGCTAGACTCTGCGACTGGACAAAATTATTTTGAATAAAATACAACCACTACGACCATATTATAATCGTGCCATTGTTTAAACGTCATAATAATAATAACAATAAAACAACAATAAAAAGTAAAGGAAGTGTTGAACGGTATGCTGCCTACTGTGACAGTTCAGACACACTGACGTATTACGCTATTGAATCTAAGTCTGACCCATTTTGTAATTGACGAAACCGTAAGATCGTATAGGTGTACCGCTTAAACCAGTGAAACTTCTTTATACATTTCAAATACAAAAGTAACACTGTCAAGTGCAAGCACTAACGCTTTCCAATCTAGCTTTTTTCGAAAAACATATTTTCCTCTTGCTGTCGTATGTGAACAACTGCAATAAATCAGAATTTCGTGACGATTAGGAGGGCTAGATCTAAATAGCATTGTCTTAGACATCACTCAATTGTTAGAAGTAGCATTTGCATCATACGTTCGAACCAAACGAGCAAGAATTATTTTTCTTGCTATAGAAGAAAAAATAATGTTTCGACTTCAAAATACCTATATTAAAAAAACACGTTTTTCGTATACGCGTATGCACATACAAACTATACCTCACTGGCGCAGTTTGGTCAGTAACATTACGTAATGTACGCGTATTCTTAGCAAACAAAAAGAAGTAATTTCCAGACGGCACTTACAAAATCATTGCCCCCAACACGAAAGATTCATGATGGTAACACCTTTTATTGAAATGATATATTTTTTTAAATTTTATCCTCTTTATTTCTACATCTCCTTTTAGAAATCACTTTTTTCATTATAAAAGTTATTTAGCACCTCAATGAATGGTACGTGTGTGCAGATCGAGCAATCTGTGTATCAGTTTCTGGGTTTTAGGCAAGATGCTTTCCCGTGGTAGCTTAGTGGGTAATGTATTTGCCAGTTAATCTTAGGGAAATGTTATGGTGCATGTGGGAACATGGAAAGCATTTAACGGTAAGCAAAAAGTAAGATTAGATGTCGGCATATATTAGATTTTTTGCAGGAGCGGCACGACAACAATTTAATGAAAAATTATATATATATATATATATATATATATAATTGTGGACATCGTAAGAAGAAATACACATTTAAAGTTTATAAGAATACGCTGTTGAGTGCTCCAGACTGTGGGCATTTCAAAGCCTTTGCCGACTTTCAACCAAATTACACTGAAAAAGCGGAGCAGCAAAAATAAACGTTTGTACAAACAACGGAACTAACCGAACGATAGGCAGTATTTAGCCTCTTCCAAAAGTATTTACCAAGAGATGCGATGAACACCATGCAGGAGCCCAAAATGTGGCAAGGTGAAACTGTACAAACGTTTTTTTCCGGGGTGTCGCCCAGCTACCCTTCAGCAGCGCTCAGGAGGCCCACGACGAGTTCATACGTGGCAAGCAATTGCAGCTAAATAAGCTAGAACTTAATATCGCGTTCAGAGTCCTTGTGCTTTTAGTGAGCTTCAGAAAAATGACAAGCCTTGTTCTTATTTTTAATTTCGTCACGGCGACAAAGGGGGGACGCTATGCCGATCTTGCCAAAGTGGCTTGGGCCTACGCTCCAAAATGGTTTGATCGCACACAGAACCTGCATTCTCGCTGCCCTATGAGAGCTTGCGCCTACGTCGTTGCTTCCACTTGAAGGGTTATGTTAAAGGCCAGTGGGTAGAGGCACGATTCTACAGCTGCGTGCAAGCCCCTGAGAGCTGGACAAGCTTGCATGTCGTAGATCTCTGAGAAGACGGACCGTTTATAACCATAACTAAAACACCCCAACTTATAAAACGTCGCTAGTCGCAATTGATCGAAGTACTGCAGCAAATCGAGAAGTTTAAATTTTGGAAATGCTGTGCTGCACCGTGCTAGATATAAAGTCACGTCTCTACGGCTTTGATCTAGCGACCTCATGCGGCATGCGTCTACCCTGCTATAGGTAATACATTGCCTAACGGCTAGGGCCTTTAGTCTTTGATCACGTTCAAACTGTGATTGATTTCATATTTATTTTTTGGGGTGCTACAATGTTCAGTGGTTCCATGGACAGTGATTTTACGTTATTTACACAGAGCTTGTTCGTGCTTTATAATACGTTTTGTCGAGCAAATATGCGATTTGCGCCTAAATTTATCCTACGATTTCTCCAAAAGAACAACCAGAGCAGAATCATAAGTGCTTTTGTAGCATTCATTTACAAGCACGTGTTTCCACCACGACTTCACGTTAGGACTTCTCTTTGTAATTTTCAAACATCTCTTAGGTTGTCAACTGAGTTGAAAGGAATTGTTTTCCTTTTTCCGTCTGCATTTACAACTGGTCAAGTTTTATTACCGTTTGAAAGTATTTTTTTTGCTTTACAAGAGTGTCCGCTACGGTCCTCCTGTTAGGATCTCTTACTTTGTCAGGGACCTCTGAGGGTTTCAAACCAAACGACGAATATTAGATCTGGAAATGCTAACAACACACAGAAAACAACTAGTTGAGCGCTACATTTACTGCATGCTCATTGTTTGCGTGTCGCATCCGTAACATGTATATTGCTATAGTGGTTTCTAAATGACTACCATTTCAGTCGATACTGAACCTTTGCTAATCATTCCGTTGTAACTATCGTACAAACAAGACGCAGTATTTGAACTTGACTAATGTCAAAATATTGGTTATCAATGACTGGACTGATTGGTCGCCCAGTACGCCAATGTCTAATCATAGATACTGCAAAATACCTATGCAGCAAAAGGGAGGCGCTGTGGTCATTTTTCCAGTAAATATTTGTTAAACTAATTGGATAAAGTTTTAAGTGGAATAATAAATAACGCAACGTTTCTGTAATTATCGAGACTGCTTTAGGCATATTGGCCATGTTTTTGTGGATGTCTTGCTTCGTTAGCAAGCGATAGGTACCGAAACGACAATGGTTATACTTCTATGGCTCTTACTATATAGATATGAAATCACTAGCTACTGAGCTAGACCGTGATTACATTTTTTTAGAATTTAAAAAAGTAATCGAAAGACCAAGTACGTTAGACAGGGAAGTTCCTTTTTTCTACGAATTGAAGCCACAGCATTGACAGCTGTAGCGGACGCGGCAGACATCGCTTCTGTTCAAATCGAAACATCCATATATATGATGGCATATATGAACTGGACAGAAGCTAGCAGTCCGGGTCTTTCTGCTCGCCGTTTTGGCGAACATACCAATAACAACAGCAGCAAATGTATTGGTGAATGCGGCATAGACGGTGTGTCATAGTAGCGTAACTTGCTAGTACTCTCATTTCGGCTCAGGCAGATAGGGGGATTCCTTCACACGTAAGCAATGTTTCACCAAGCTTGTATTTACAAAAATAAAAATGTCGTATGCTACTAAACATTTTTGCCCCTAAGGTCGTAGAAGTAACCTAAATTTGCGCAACCTATTTTGCGGAATATTATTTTCTCTTTTTTTGTTGAAATTTATGATAGGCGAACGACTATAAGGATTCGAATCACAAGCCACAACTTAGCAATCGTAATAAAAAGATACGAAATAGACTATGCTCTGCGATTAGAATTTATTTTAATATAATATTTATCATTATAATATTATATTTTAAAAAAAAATTACTGTAGCATGGTTGAGCTGGTGGAGAAGTATGCATAGCTCTGAGGGCAGTGTGCTTCAAACGTCCCAAGATTTAATATTTTATATGCACTTATCAGCAGAAGTAGATTTAGGTAGAAGCATATTAACACAAAGAGAGTAGTTAAAGGGGGAAAAAAATAGAATTATAATGCGCCTAGCTCGATTGCGTTTACTGTCGGAGCTCTGCTATTAGAACCAACCTAGATCAGAGGTCCGATTGCTGAAGCTAGTTTAATATATCACCAAGACGCCTTAGCTTCCGGCATTTTATTTATTTCTACTGCCTATTTGTAAGTAACGATATGTTATAGAACTGTTAAAAAAACAATGGCAGGGTTATTGACAAAATTCACGCTATTTTGGAAAATAAAGACAGCTAGCATATAGCTCATATGCCTGATTCGGTTCCTATTTCAGCCTATTACTTTAGCCCACTTTAAGATAACACTGAACCTAATCTTTATTATGACTTAATATTGCCATCGCTACATTTGAATACCAAGATCAAATTAAAATGCCGTATAAACTACAAATATAAAAGGTTTTTGTCAAATATCTATCACAATTACAGGTAAAAACAATTTTAGAAAAAAAAAAAGTTTGATTATATATCTTTCGTTTATGACGAATTTCACGACGAGGTCAGATTTCTGTTAAAATGACATTTTCCATAGAAACACATATAACGTGAATACTAACACTATAACTGACGTTTTTAAAAATCTCCGAAGGCAAACTGTACATACATAGTATAAAAAAACCTATACTCTACAATACTACTCTACTATACAAAAAACCTATATGTAGAAATAATGTGTGTAGTAACATTTTGAGTTAGATCTGCTGACCTTTGCTGTAGAGAAGGCTTAGCTTGAGGTAATGAAAAAACCTAAATAGAAACAATGATTTCAGAAGTAAAAATAGGAAGCGCACTTATGCAGACAATATGCATTGATAGAAAAATAGCACAGGAAAACCATTTGTTAACGATGGTCCTACATATCATTTCTAACTCGCTCGCAGCAACGCTTAATCAAGGCAAAATATTAAAAGTAAAAAATTCAGATTTGGCAATGTTATCATAACACAATTAGATAGAAAAAAAGAGCTCAACGTGAAGTTTGATTTATCTTTCAAAGTGGCACTATTTTGATTATATACGTAATGTAAGACTATACATGTTTTGATACGAAATTGGTGAAATCATGTGTAGAATGAATTTGAGAATTTCTTGAGATTTAAAGTCATTGGTTCTTATAAGTTTACAATGCTGACCTGTAATAAAACACCTTCATGTGATTATTTACGTTATGAAGTTTTTGTGAGGAAACTGGGGATACAT